TCGTGCAATACTGACACAACTCAAAAGCTGTGAATTTTCACAATCATCTTTTCATAACTTGGGTTCAAAAAACCTTCTGTATTTCTGTATTTAGTTTCAATTTTATGAATCTTTTCATTTCCATTGGACTGAATCGAATGTGTTTAATGCATTCTATCAAATATCAGATCATAAAAATGAACAGTCCAACGATTTATAAAGCCTTTTATCTGTGCTCACTTGTCAACAACATGCTAAAGGACAAAAAATAATGCATATTTGTATGGGCAATATAGGCACAACCAGGCATGGAAAATCATTTGCATTATTTTCGTGCATTCATTTACATTCATTTGCCTCTAACTTTTTTCATCAACAGCATTCTGCAAAATGATGTACAGAAGTTTTGTAGATTTTGTTATTAGCTACAACTTTTGTTAACAAGTCAAATCCGTATCTTTGATGCATGATGAACCAGAGCGAACAGAAGCCACTACTGAAAAACAGTAACAAGTTCTGCCCGCTCTAGTTCGTGATGCATAAGAGATACAGATTTGAGTTATGGTCAAAAGTTGTAGCTAATAACAAAACCTATAAAAGCTCCATACATTATTTTGCGGAATGCTGTTCTTGAAAAAGGTTAGAGGCAAATGAATGTAAATGAATGTATGAAATTAATGTAAATGATTTTCCATGCCTGGCCGCACAACTCAAAATGTGCATTTGATACTACTTTATTTTAGGATTTTTTTTTGAAAAAGTAGCAAAAGCATATCTAATTATAATTTTAGGTTTTTTACGGATTTAAAAATGGGTTACTGTGGAATGAATCTTCACACTATTTACCATCATTTGTCATCAAAATCTTAAAAACGAAAAAATTCGTCAGTATTGCATGAAACCGATGGAAATTTGCCAGTCGGATCGGGTGATATCGGGTAGGTACGAATTGAGCATAATGCAAAAAAAAACAGCTCCTTGCGTTCTTTCCACCTCATCGCTTGTTGCCAAGGTGATCCACTCATCTCCACTGCTAGGAAGTTTTTCTGCACAACGGCAGAGAAAGGGAAAATATTCAGCTTTTAACGCTGGCGTGCTACTGCTTGCTGCTGTTATCTTGAGCGATCCGCTCACCACTTATTTCATGAAAACAGTGGTAAAATTATCATTTTTAATATGTATTTTTTTCTTCAAAAGTTCGTTATGTAAAATTGGAAAAGCTTTTTTTTCAGTAGATTCACAGAGCTATTTCCTATCGATTGGTGTATTTTGATTTTAATTTCATCTATAAATGACAAATTTATAAGCGTTCAAAACCTAACACCTTTTCGTGTCGGTCGCAATTTTAGATTTTAAATTTGCCTCCCTTTTCGCCATAAGACGTAGTCTACGTCAAAAAAGGCGTGTAAGGTGTATTTAGAAATTTGATGATGTTATGCATGGCTGGCATTTTATGCATGATGGCGTTAAGGATTACTAAAGAACTACTCCAGGGCGTTTGAGGTGTCTATCAAAGGGTGGTCACTCTACACACGTATTTTGCGACAACTTTTTTCTCAGTATACCTCACGTGTGCCACAGCTGTGCCGGCAGTGCCGAGAGTGTCATCAAAATGATTTTTTTTGTATAATGGTATTTGGCAACCCGATTTATTTGACAGTTCACATGCTTTGTTTTAAAGAAAAAAATAACAAGCAGTGGAATCCTATCCTAGATGTCGTGACTCTCGGTTCGTTGCTCCCAAATTCTATCGGAAAAGGACTACACTTAACCTAATAAGCAACGGCCTCGACCACCGAATCGAAGCTTAGAGCTAGAACGTTCTCCGGGAGAGGCACTTCCCAGTTCCAACAGGACAATAACTTCTACTGGATCGGAGTATGATGAGGACGCGGATGAACCAGTAAGTAGACGAAGCAAGGAAGCATCAAGATGCTCTTCAGATTCTGATGAACGCTTCCGGGAGGAGTCTCTCCCGAAAGCCATCGACTCTGCCATAAGTAAATGCGTCGCCACCGTAATCAGACTTGGGTGGGGTTTAATATGTCCACAAGGTAAGATAGTCCAACGATCGGACAAATGACACCTGTACAAGCTGATGCGCTGTCGATGGTAGGAAAGCAAACACCGGTGAAGATTCTACCTCCGAACATGGTCCGAGTGATCATCGAAGGCAAATTCATCGATGTCAGTTACGATGAGCAACGAATCAAGGAAGTGAATGTCGGTTGGCTGATCAACGAAGTGGTGAAGCGTTACGGAATCAAACATGGTAAACGATCACTGATTAAACTACTACGGCCAGATGGTGGCCTTTGTATGGACACCGATCCCCTTACGACCTTCTGTGTGGCTCGGATTCCATAATCATTTCGTACTTGATAGAGTTTAAAAAGCTGCGTTCGGATCAGTTCTACGAGGATTATTGAAAAAATCGCGATGTTGAAATGCTTACCGAACTGCTCCAATCGCTGGGCACCATGGAAAACACCGGTCACTTTACACTTCGCCTAGACTTCTTCTCCGCCAAGCCTATAAATATTCTATTTCAAGCGTTGGGTTATCAGGGTCGTGTCTGAGAGCTAAACCTATCCTTGAACCAACTCAACGATGTCGTCTTTCAGGAGCTCACCTTCAAGCCCAAAAACTGACCAATCATCATCTAACAATTCCACTTCACCTCCTTTGGCTGTGATTTAAGCTTCGTCACGAATCTCCCCGCTCCAAATCGATCTACCAAAGCCTTTAACGTTCCCTTCACTTCCTCCTTCAGGGTATCGCTCTCTCCACTAACCAACTCACTAATCACATTCCGAATCGGCATTATGATCAGTAGCAGTCCCTTCACAGTCATCTTTACAATCAGCTTCCGGAACGATGCCACTGCCTTCCCAACTTCGATCAAACTGTTCTGAAACACCAAAGCCTTCCGCACCAGATCCTTGAACAGTTCGGATCGTCTTGAGTGGAGGTTTTCCAATCTCGAAGTTTTCCGGTAGCGACTCCAGCACCACTCCAAGGTTTTTAAGCAGCAGGAGGACGTTCTAAGTAACTATTTATCACTATTGCAATTTTTGGAAGGTTCAACTGCTATAACAAGGTATTCAAGGTGTTTCCCTTGCCCTTGCCACTGGTTCTCTGTGCTAGAGTGTCGGAAATATGAAATATCAAACCTACCTGTACATATCAATAATTGTAAATTATGGAGCAAGCAATTCAGCTTGTCATTACAATGGAGTTGCTCCTTCAATTGTGCGGTGGGATGACTGCGTAAACGTCACAGATTGCATCCTGCGGCAAATTAATTCATCTGGCATTTCCAACCTGAGTGGTGGTGCCCGGCCGCTTTACTACGAATTTCACCGTGACACTTGTAAAACATAGATTAATTCAAACCCTGCAAACGTCACTATAATTCATATTGCATATTCATTTTGCTTCTGCAAATTGCACGACACTGTCACACACCTGATGCATATTTGAACAATATTTTACTGTCCCATGGCTTTCGGATTCCGCCCAGCTCTCGGACCATCCATCGCATCGCATCGGGTATAGAGCTGTCTTCCATGTACAATTCGGATATCATCCAAATGTTTCGCCTCCCCCCCACCCCCCCCCTCATCTTCTTCCTTCCCCGCTCGACGGGCCGAGACAAAGCAGAACAAGCATAACATTTTGTTGCCCTCTCGTAATGCATTCGAAAAAAGTATAAATTTCAAAGTCATAAACATGCACTCGGGCACACTCAGAGCCATGTGTAGCTACATGTATAGTAGTAGAAAGGGACACCATCAGCACGAGGATAACTACAAATGTTTGTAGTTGGAAAAAGAACCTGGAAAGCTGCTAAAGCAACAACTGCTTGCTAAAAATATACAATATGATAAAAAGTACGATCGTGTAGTTACTGATGCTGTACAGCCCAGCCACCCGCCTTTCTGATCCCTGGCTGTACGAAGAAGGAGCATCATTTCTCTTGTACCAAAACCGACAGCCAGTGCTTGTGAATTGTCCAGGGAAGATAAACATATAACTGAATAACGGTGGAAGCGGATCCTCCGACTTAGTCTGTTCCGTACAGCGAGAATTCAACGGCAGGTTTTTGGATTGCTTGCTCTGAACGTCATCAGCTGGCAACGCCTCTGGATCCTATTTTGGATAAATTTCCGGAATGTAAGGTTTTTAGAGCAGCTCTCATACAAACCGAATTTGTAGAGCATGGAAATTTGTCTGCTTGGAGCGCAAAAATACAATTCGTGAACTACAAGCAGCATCCGGTGGGCAACACTTGGCGACACCAAATCCCGGAGTGATTGTTTTTGGTGGAATAATTTACCCGACAAAACATGTCATCTATGACGACGTCGCTGTACTACACCGCTGGTGACATCGAAATTGGCTGTTTCTAAAAATTCAAGCGCAGCTCTCCATTATTCAATCCCCACGTGATGAGAGTACCGAACTTGAACAATGGCTACAATGGCAGCCGTCAGTGTAATATATTTCAACTGGATAAAGTATATTTTGCCACCACCAGCCACCAACGCGTGACAAAAGAGATCCAATTCAGAATCCGAGAAACGGGCGATTCAATTAAGGCACTGGTGCCCACATTAATTCATTATCATACATCCGACCGCGTTGGAAGCTACCATACAAACTTCGTGGAAAGCGCTGAGAAGAGAGCTCACTTGAATTGTTTTTCTTCGCCTTACTTATAATTGGTTTTAATTTTCTCAGCTTCCTGCACTCGGTGCCCTTTGCACGGTCATAATTCACCGGCAGGACTGGGTTTTTGCTTTCATGAAGCTGAGAGGAGCTGTAAATTAGCTCCAGTATGAGACGCTGGCTGTTGGGCCGTTTCTGGAATATGTGGGTATAAATAATACATGCGATCCGAAGAGCCAAGGTGGATCGTTTTCGTGAAAGCACACAGCAACTGGAGTGCGGATAATGGGAAACGCATAATGCCTTTTAAATGCCCTAGCAAAACAGAATTTCAAATGAAAATGTTTAAGCTTTAGAACTTTTCTCCAACGGGTTTGATCGTTAGCTCATGAATCTGAACTCGTGGGGGTGTTCCAAGAACATAGAGAACGGCTTCCGAAATGTCCTCAGCCTCCAGCATGGGAAATTCTGTTGCGTTCATTAATTCTGGGAGGATTTCCGTTCGAACAGCACCGGGGCTTACGCTCTGCAAATACATGATATCAAAATTTTAGAAACGCTTCTTCCCAATGCCTCACAGCGTAGAATACATACCGTAACTTTGATCTTGGTTCCCGCATTTCTCAGCTCGTTCCTCATGGTTTCCGTGATGGCCGTGACAGCATGTTTGGACGCAAAATAGATGTTCATACCTGGATAATCCAGCACCTTGTGACCAGCGATACTGTTGATATGCACAATGTGTCCATCAACCGAACGTTTCGTCATCGACTGATAGGCTTCCCGGCTGCACAATACCAACCCCATCACGTTGGTGTCCATAACTTCGCGCAACTTTTCGGTATTGTCAGCGTCCAGCAGCTCCATCTGCCTAACGATACCGGCATTGTTAATCAAGACATCCACTCCGCCGAATTTTTCCTCGACCCATTTGAACGTTTGCAGAATATCCTCCTCCTTCGAAACATCGCACTTGACCGCGTGCAGGCGACTGCTGACCGATTCCTGCAGATCCGCCTTCAGTGCTTCGATGCGTTCCACGCGACGTGCCAACCCGACTACCACCATTCTGGCTTTGGCCAGATCCTTGGCTATGACGGCACCGATTCCCGAGCTGGCCCCGGTTACTACGGCTACCTTTCCAGTCCAACGATCCATTGTTAGAAATGCACGAAGTACTTCCAGCACGTCCGATTGGAATTTGAGTCAGTAACTAAATAAACGATGTACAGTAGGTATGCTTACTATTTCAGTGAGCTCGCTTATCTTGCGTGACTTTGATTATGTTATCTTTAAATTTGAACGCATAATTTTAGATTTACTACGTGAAATTCAATTTAAAAAAGCTAAACGAAATTTTATCACAATCATTGCATTGAGTGATAAGAAACTAGAGGTTGCACACGAAAAAATCCGGACAAGAAAATCTTGAAGGGGCTTAAAAATGCGTTTTATTTTTCATAGTTCAATGTAACAGCTATGTGTACATTAGTAGGTATTATCACAGACAAACAGACGTAACACTTCATTGTGTATCTTCGTTCACGTATTTAACGGTTGATTTGAATATTATCAGTTCCGCGAACTACTCGCCGCAGCGCTGGCATCGGATCACTTTGACGTTTCTATACATTCTATAGAACTTTTATGCAATATTGTTTGCGAGTTAGCGAGCAAGCTTGTTTTCCGCGAGAAGCCAGAGAGATGTCGTTACTGAGGACCTATGTTTTGAGATACTATGTTTTCAAGAAAATCTTTTTCAAAGAGTTACGTCTGTTTGTCTGTGGTATTATGCTTATTGTTAGACCATTGTTTCAGTCTTCCCTCTTACCATAGGCCATTGCTTGAAATTGTCTTCGTTCCCACTTGTTTGGCTGCCAAATTCCATTTCCGCTTGAAACCCTTCAGATCAATTGCAGTTCCACCCTTTTTCTTTAGTATGTGCTTCACAATTGACCAGTATTCTTCAATTGGCCTAAGTTCCGGAGTATTGGCCGGATGCATCTCCTTGGGAAACACTGTGACGCCATTTTCGCTGTACCACTGTTTGGTGGAATTTGAGTAGTGGCCGAGGTAGTGGCAGGTTGCCAAGTCCAGTCAAAATATGCAATCCACCTCATGCTGCTCCAGAAAAGGCAGTAGTCTCTTCCGTAGGCACTTCTCCTGGTAAATTAGCTGGCTCATGGTCTCAGAAGTCACGAAAGTTTCACGTTTTAGCCCACAACTGCAGATTGCTCCCACTCGTTTGCTGCGTGCTGGACGAAAGATTGCTTGTCGAATGTTGTCGTAGTCGTGTTTGTGCGTTGAGGTTGTGTTTCAGAAATGCAATCGAAGTGTGCCGTGGCCGCTATTAGACGCGTTTGTTTTCGGTCGCTGGGGTTGTCGGTTCTGATTTCGGCGCCGGTCGGCCAATGAGGAGCTAGCGTTGCGTATTACAGACTGTTTACTGGCAAACTGAAGCCGTTGTGTCGCGAGTGATTGGTGATGGAAAGTGAACGCAGCCCTTTTTTTTTTTTTTTTTTTTAACTCTTTATTTGTTCCAAATTCAAAATAAATTACATTTCATTTTAACCTAGGTGCTCCAGTTACTGCAGTAACGTACCAGCCTTAATTGTTATGATATATATCTAAGTGTTTTTACATTGTTCATGTCTTGGCAATTCAGTATTTTAAACAGGTTTTTTAACCTGCATGTCAGTATAACAATTGATATCTTAAAACTAAAAACTAAAACTAAATCTTATCTAAGTATAAAGGGAATTAATCGTTGCAATTGAGGATTGCAACGATTTTTGCCTGAAATTATTAATTATTTTGTTGGACATTTGTGCTAAAGTCTCAACATTCGAAATTCTATGTACTTCGGTTGTACTGTACCAGGGAGGCAACTTCAAAATCATTTTCAGAATTTTGTTCTGAATCCTTTGAAGTGCTTTTTTCCTGGTAGTGCAGCAACTAGACCATATTGGCACAGCGTAAAGCATGGCCGGTCTAAAAACTTGTTTAAATATTAGAAGTTTATTCGTCAGGCAAAGTTTGGATTTCCTGTTTATAAGAGGATACAAACATTTTATATATTTGTTACATTTGGCTTGAATGCCCTCAATGTGATCTTTAAAAGTTAATTTTTGGTCAAGTATTAATCCAAGATATTTCACTTGGTTTGACCAGGAAATTGGAACTCCGTTCATAGTGACTATGTGACTACTACTAGGTTTCAAAAACGAAGCTCTAGGCTTATGTGGAAATATTATAAGTTGAGTTTTGGAAGCGTTGGGAGAAATCTTCCATTTTTGTAAATAAGAAGAGAAAATATCTAAACTTTTTTGCAGTCTGCTGCAAATAACACGAAGACTTCTTCCTTTAGCGGAAATGCCTGTGTCATCAGCGAACAAAGATTTGTGGCAACCCTGAGGCAAATCAGGGAGGTCCGAAGTGAAAATGTTATACAATATAGGCCCAAGAATGCTACCCTGAGGAACTCCTGCCCTAACAGGTAGTCGATTAGATTTGGAATTTTGATAATTTACTTGAAGAGTTCTGTCAGTTAAATAATTTTGAACTAATTTCATAATATAAAGTGGAAAATTAAACATTTTCAATTTAGCAATCAAACCTTCATGCCAAACACTGTCGAATGCTTTTTCTATGTCTAGAAGAGCAACTCCAGTTGAGTGGCCTTCAGATTTGTTTGAACGAATTAAATTGGTAACTCTCAAGAGTTGATGAGTAGTTGAATGCCCATGGCGAAATCCAAACTGCTCATCTGCAAAAATTGAGTTCGTATTGATGTGAAGCATCATTCTATTCAAAATTATCTTTTCAAAAAGTTTACTTATTGAAGAAAGCAAACTTATTGGACGGTAGCTAGAAGCTTCAGCTGGATTTTTATCCGGCTTCAAAATTGGAACAACTTTTGCATTTTTCCATTTATCAGGAAAGTATGCCAAATGGAAACATCTGTTAAATAATTTTACCAAGAAAGACAAGGTACTCTCTGGGAGTTTTTTGATGAGGATATAGAAAATTCCATCATCACCTGGAGCTTTCATATTTTGAAATTTTTTAGTTATAGACCTTACTTCGTCCAAATCAGTCCCCCAGGAATCATCAAAAATATTTTCCCGAGAGAAAATATTCAGAAAATCCCGAGCAACCTGATTCTCAATAGGACTAGTAAGACCCAAACTGAAATTATGGGAACTCTCGAATTGCTTAGCAAGTTTCTGAGCTTTTTCCAAATTTGTGATCAAAATTTTACCACCTTCTTTAAGCGCTGGAATTGGCTTTTGAGGTTTTTTCAAAATTTTTGTGAGTTTCCAAAAGGGTTTGGAACTCGGGTCTAATTTAGAAATATTATTTTCAAAAGTTTTGTTCCTCAGGGCAGAGAATCGCTTTTTAATTTGTTTTTGCAAATCCCGCCAGATAACTTTCATGGCAGGATCGCGTGTTCTTTGATATTGTCTCCTACGGACATTTTTAAGACGGATCAAGAGCTGAAGATCATCGTCTATTATAATTGAATCGAATTTAACCTCGCATTTTGGTACTGAGGCAGCTCTTGCTGCAACAATAGAAGTAGTCAGAGATTCAAGAGCAAAATTAATTTCATCTTTGGTTTGCAAAGGAATGTTTGGATCGAAGTTATATTCCATAAATGTTCGATACTGCTCCCAATCAGCTCTATGGTAATTGAAAGTAGAGCTGTTGGGATTACAAATTATTTCTTGGGATATTTCAAAAGTTACTGGAAGGTGATCAGAACCGAAGTCAGCATGGGTAACCAGTTGGCTACAAAGTTGACATGAATCAGTTAAGACCAAATCAATAGTGGAGGGATTTCTTGCAGAAGAAAAGCATGTTGGGCTGTTTGGATATTGAATAGTGTAATAACCTGCAGAACAATCATCAAACAGAATATTACTATTGGAATTGCTTTGAGCATTATTCCATGAGCGGTGTTTTGCATTAAAATCACCAATAATGAAGAATTTAGACCTATGACGGGTAAGTTTCTGGAGGTCACCCTTGAGAAAATTCTTTTGCTGGCCTACGCATTGGAATGGCAAATAGGCAGCTATAAACGTAAGTTGTCCAAATTTTGTTTCAACAGAAACCCCCAAAGTTTCAAAAACTTTGGTTTCAAATGAAGAAAGAATTTTATGTTTGATTCGTCTATGAATAATGATGGCAACGCCACCACAGGGTCCATCAAGACGATCATTTCTATAAATCAAGTAATTTGCGTCCTTCTTAACCTTATGGTCAGGTTTAAGGAACGTTTCAGTTATAACGGCAATATGCACGTTATGAACTCTTAAAAAATTAAATAGCTCGTCTTCATTATCTTTAAGAGATCGAGCATTCCAATTTACAATATTTAATGCTTTAAAATCCATTACTGAATTTTAAAGTCATGACAATATTATTTGCAAATTTTACTCCAGTTTGAATAGCATCAAACATGGAGTTAGATTTAAGCATATCAGAAATCATGTCAATTAATGAATTCTGTAAAAATTCCATTTTGGGGGCAGTAATGCTTCCTAAGTCAAAATTGTCAAAATTTCCGTTAGAACGTTGGTTAGTATTTTGATTTCTACCCGCTGCAATAGCAGCATAGGTAGCTCCATTAACTCGCTGAACATTGTTAGCAGCGAGGGGAGTAGGTACAGATGAAACATTTGAAGCAGGGGAGATATTTGTACCTACGGGTACGAATGTAGAATTTGTTCCTCGCTGACCGTTGTTAACAGCAGAGGAATTTGTACCTGGTCGGAAACGTGGAGCGTTTCCTACCTGACGGCTAGAACGAGATTGTAGGATCGCTTTGCGAGTCTTACATTCCCAAAAATTGGATTTGTGGTTTTCACCACAATTTGAACATTTAAATTTCTTAGGATCTTCCTTCACAGGACAGTCGTCCTTTGCGTGAGAGGAATCACCACAATTCATGCATTTAGCTGGGTGAGGTTTTGGAAATTTCCTCCAGTCTTCCTGAAGTGTTCCCACTTCACTCGGACATGGAGCATAAGGCTAGCTTTTTCTAAGGCCTTAAGGTTGTTTAGTTCACTAGACTTGAAGTGAACTAAATAAAAATCATTAGAAATCCCGTTGCGCGATTCGCCAGGACGGGATTTCATTTTCATTTTGATTACTTGGAGTGGCACAACTCCAAGTAATTTTGCCAGTTCATCTTTGATCT